GCTGGACAGCTCATGGGATGGATCTTCTCATTCTTAAAAGGAGGCCCAGGGATGAAATCATCTCTCTTCTTATACTGGATGCTGTGGTACATGCAGTGATGTCAAGAGCCACATAGGCCACCTTATGACATGAAGGGACATCCAACCCCACATGGCAAGGATGGCACAATAGAGAAAAATGGAAAAAACAAGGTTTCCTGACGAATTTGAGAAATAAATCCTGGAAGAACCTACCTCTGGTCTTCTTTCTCACATGAGATATTAAGTTGACTGATTTGTTGAAATTGAGGTCCTCTGCTTCTTGCAGCTAGAAGCATCCTTATTGCTAAACTCTCAACATTAGGAGGCCCTAATCTTAATGTAGGACCGTTGGCAACTCAGTCAATTTTTGACTCCAGTGCTTTTATAGATATAGTCCCTATTCTCTTTCCTTTTTCCAATCAAAAATTTTATTTAATACAAAATGCTGTAAAAAATGGTGAAAAAGCAATTAGACTCCTCCACCTGGCCTACTTCTGTGCTTTTCCAACTGTGGATACTTTCTTCATTGCTTCTATCAAATTGCGTTGTAGAATTCCTGGGACACACGTGGTTTTTACTATTAATGAATCTTTACCAACACTTCCATCTATGGAAAACAACTTTTTACTGCGCTTATTTCTAGTGAAACTATATCCCTTCTCAAATTTAGTTCACAACCTATTTACTTCCAACATCTCACCAGCCCAAATAACTTCCTTCTGTCTATGGATTGCACCTCGTTTGAATTAATCTTTTTGCAATTATCCTTCTCTGCATGTATACAGTATCAGTCTCCTCAAATAAATGGAAAACTTCTTTAAGGCATAAGTGAAATTGTTTTTGTTAAATGATTTGAGGAATCATGCATTTTTCATATTAGTGTCTTTCCTGGTACATTGCTTCTTAGGTAGCACCAGGTGCTCCATACAGTATGTCAAGTTGGTCGTGTGTGAAATGAAAGGATGGGATTAAGTGATACTTTGGATCCTTTCTGACTCTAAGGGACAGAGCTGATGATATCTAAGGTGAAGTGAAACCATGATTCTTAAAGATATATAAAAGTTTGAGAGTTGAAAAAGAAAAGAAAACTGTAAATGTGGGTGGTGGTGAAATGCCTTCTTTATAGATTAGTATTTTTGAAACTATACTTTTATTTTTGGAAGTCTTTACTCATGATACTTACTTTTTGATGACTCTCCGGGATAGCTCTTTGCAAATGTAGAAAGTCCCGTTGTCTGGGAGGAAAGTGATAAAAATAGTCTTTCATAATATGTGACCAGTCCTAAATCTTTTACAGGCCTGCCAGTATTTTGGGCTTTATTGTAGAGTTATCCACCCTTGTTTTAAACTTTGCCCATGTTGGACTTGGAGGGGGATTTGCTTTGCTTCAGGGAAACACTCCAGTGGGCTATTTTTGAACTTGCTTTGACATTTAGATTTGGAAATACTGTGTTTCCAAGATACTTATCCCCGGATAAGCTTGCAGTGCAGATGTAAAAGTATATCAAGTCAAAATTTTAATCATCTGCTAACATGATCTTTCGTAGGAGATTTCCCTATTGTGTAGATTAAGTGATGGGTACAAATTACAAGATGGAGAAAAGTATGGAAGGTTCAAGGACTAAAACTTTTCCCTTAATTACTTACCTCACTTTCTCATCTCTAGGGTTTATGAACACAGGAAAGACACATACACAAAACTCCCAGAGACTCTCTGTTTTATTTTAGCTTAATGATGGATCAAATCTCTGCTTGTTTTTCCACCACTTCTTCAATTAGTTCTATTGGCTCACATGAGAGCTGGCAGCTAGGTACACATTCGCTGCTTGGAAGGTCCCACTGAGGAGAAGAAATGGAGGCGGGGTGTGGAGGAAGCCCTGGGAGGATAAGAAAGCAGGAGTGGGGAGCTTCGTGTCTTCCGTGGCAGGAAGCGGAGCCCCCGTCCAGCTGCAGCACATCCTGCCCTGTGCTGGTCTAGAAGTCGGCACAGCCTGGGGAATTTGGCAGAGCTGCCTGTAGCTACGTCCAGACAAGTGCAGACAGCAGGCTGGAAGGCACTCATAGGGACTTGCTGTGTTACACTGAGTTATGTTTCTGTCTGATGGCTAGTTTCACAATGAAAAGGAGCCACTAAACCAACCTTTAGTTTTTAGCTTCTATAAAACACAATGGCTCAATATCGCTGCATCTTTGCTCACGTTATTCCTTCTATCCGGAAACATCCTTCCCCTCACGTAAGTCCTAACTTTTCCTCTAAATGTAGGAGCGCCTACACCTCTAAATGTAGGAGCACCTACACTCCTTAAAAGTTTCCTTTGTCTGGGGCGCCTGGGTGGCTCAGTTGGTTAAGCTTCTGACTCTTGATTTTGGCTCAGGTTATGATCTTAGGTCATGATCTTAAGTCATGATCTCAAGATCGCGAGATTGAGCCTGGGCGGGGCTCTGTGCTGGGCATGGAGCCTGCTTAATATTCTCTCTCTCTCCCTCTGCCCCCCACCCCCCACTTGCATGGTCTACTCTCTCTCTCTCTCTCATTCTCCCTTTCTTAAAAAAAAAAAAAAAAAAAAAAAAAAGCTTCCTTTGTCTGAAGTTTTCCTGATCCCACATCTACCTCTCACTAGGGAAAATTTATCAATCTGCATTTTGAGCTTCTCACTATACGTGGTTAATGTATATAGCCCCTGTAATACTTTAGTGCACTTATTTTATATCTCTTTCTCCTATTACTGTTTTTACCCTCTTTAGGTCAGGGACTGATTCTTAATTATCTTTATATCCCTATAATTCAGCACAGAGGCGGTCTCATTGTAGGGATTCCATGTATGCTAGCTCAGTGCGTAAATAAATGAACATAGAGGGGCGGGGAGAGGTTCAGAGGATAAACTGATAAGAGTTAAAGGATTTCAAAGCTTTACCTGGTAGATATGTGCACTGGTGGTTACCACCCTCCGACTCATTCTTTGAAAACTGTCATTCCCGTCAGGGCGTGGAGAACTGCAATGACGAGCATCCCTTCCTGGTTCTGTTTAGGAATCCTGCTATTAGCATACTACCTGGGGTTATATTATCTCCTCCCAATTAAATTCCATGTGATCTCATAGAGGAAATGAACAATAGCTCATCCTCTGGAAAAAGTTGCAAATTTGCATCTAAATTTATTCAGTAACCTTCACCAATATTTATTAGGTATTTATAATGCTCTGGGCACTATGCTAACCCACAAGGGGTAGAGGATTCTAAATCAAAATCCTCACAAGCCACTATCTAGTCTTTGAGGTTCCCAAGAAAAAATTCCAGAAAGAAATCTACTAGTGCCCTACATTTCAATTTCCCCCCTTTGGCTATTGATAGCTCAGCAGGAAATCTCTCCTTTGCCCTGGAACGTATCTGGGTTTTTGGAAGAGTATGAACTTTGGAGGCAGGCAGATGAGTCTTTGAATCCCTCTTTACACTTGGAGCTGTATGGTAATTCACTCCATACCTATAAACATCAATTTCTTTATCAACAAAAATGATAATACCTGTCATTAGTGGTTGTAGTAAGAATTGAAGGAGATAATGAACATGTGAAGTTATCTAGGAAATAACAGTGCTCAGAAAATGGTAGGTCTGATCAGTATTATTATTCTTTAGTGTAGTTCAGAATCGTACAAGTAATTCTCTTCAGCAAAGCTTGTGACATATTTATCAGTGTGTAGCACTTGTCCATTTAGAACAGACTCGTTACATTAAACTCTTCCAGAGTGATAGGAATGGCTTGTTACATATTGTAAGGATACCTTGATGGAGAAGAGAACCTGGGAGAACACTAATGTTGCCACCATTACTACAATCCTGGGATTTCCTTCTTGGAGTCTTAGAACCACTTCTGGCTGAGCCCTTCTTCCGGGCTTTGCCGGCCCTGGATGGATGGTGGTATGTCTTGGCTTCAAAGACAGCACAGACCATAGAAGTCAAAAAAGCTTAAGTTAAAAACTCATTTTTGCCACTTGCTATCTAACCGACCTTGAAAAAGTTACTTAAGCATCATGGGGTAGACAGAAAAATGCCCACCTCTTCCCCAGTGCTGTCCATGTTCTAATCCCCGGAATGTGTAAATATGTTACCTTACATAGCAAAAGGGATTTTTCATTACTGATATAATTAAATTAAAAACTTTGAGATGGAGAGAATATTCTGGATCATCCAGGAAGGCACAATGTTATCACAAGTGTCCTTTTCAGAGGATACATAGGAGGACTCAGGGTCAGAAAAAGGACAAGTGTCAATAGAACTGGACTTTGGAATGACGAGCTTTGAAGATGGAGAAACGGGCCGTGAGCCAAGGAATACAAACCTCTCTAGAGGCTGGAAAGGGTGAGGCCATGGATCCTCCCTTAAAGCCTTCCTCCAGAAGGAACACAACCCTGCCAACAAACGTTGTTGTTTGAAGCTAGTAAGTTTGCGATAATTAGTTACAGCAGAAGTAGAAAACTAATACACACCTCAAGCTTTAGTTTCTTATCTCTAAAATAGTAATGCTATATAACAAATTCTTATTATGTCAGGTATTATTTTAGGCCTGGAAGATACAGCACTGAATAATACAAAGTCAGTGCCACAGGGAGCTTACATTATAGTGGATAGACGATAACAAGTACGAAAATATTTTGAAGTAGTACAAAGTTCTGTGGAGAAATAAAGCAAGGGAAGAGAGAGTGTGGGTGGGTGTGAGCAGGAGGATCTATTCTAGATGGGGTGTTCAGGGACTCTTTGCAGAAGGATACTTGAGTAGAGACCTGGAATAAGGCGCCAGCCTGGGAAAGATCAGCAACAAGCACTTCCCAGCGCGAGGAAATGCCATAGCCTGTGGTGCTTCCTCAGGCTGGGACAGGAACTACGCAGGAAGGCCAGTGCAGCTGGGGGCTGGGGGGGGGGGGTGGGGAGCGGCTAGGGGAGGGGGGTGAGTGAGGGGGTGACGGGAGCACAGTGGAGGCCATTCGAGATGTTTGCATTTCCTTTTAAATGCAAGAGGAAGTCTTGGAAAGAGGTCAACAGAGGCATGAGTTAAATTTAATTTAAATTAAAAAAAAACATGCTGGCAATTTGGTTTGGAGCTCAGAGGAGAGGTCAGAGCTCGAGGTTTCGAGGCTTTCGAGGCTTTCGTCCAGATAAAGTGAGTATTGAAGCTGCAGAGCCAGACAAGCTCAACCCCGCACAGAGTGTAGGCAGAAAGTCTGGGCCTTTTGGGTCTCAGAGGGAAAGACAAGCTGGCAAAGGAGACCTAGAAGTAGGAGAAAACTTCAGAGAGTGGCTGTCTTGGAAGCCAAGGGAAGAACAGGTTTTGAGAATGAGGCTGGGATTGCCCTTGTCAGAAAGCCTCCCTCTAAGTCTTGTGTTAATGTTTAAAGAGAACAACAGACACAAAGCTTAGGTCTCATAGAAAATCCTCCAAAATGATCATAGTACTTAATGTTAGTATTGATAAGTTACTTGAGTTCTCTTGATTGCTTAGAAACAATACCTCAGAGCAGACCCATCTTGCAGCTACCCAATTACGTTTTTTCTTACTTGAATGTCTTTCCTATTTTGTTCTTGCTGGTTCCCTTGTAATCATGTGTTCTACAGACAGTGAAGACCAGCCAACGGTAGGAAACAAGCACTAAATGGACTCTTTTTTATACTTGTGCAAGGGATAGCTCTTGAAAGACAACAGCAAGAGTTTAACAAAAGATGATACTTTGGTACAGCTAAGGAAAATACGATTTCCTAAAGTACCCTGCCTGTTCTGCATCATTTCCGTTATAAAATGACAGTAAAATCCCACATTACAGGACACAAACAATCGCAGTGGTAAGATCGGAAACTTCATTATGCATTTATTAACTAAAGATTTGAGCAAATGATTTCTAACCTCTTGGTATTGTGACAGCCTCTGATTTTTTTTTTTTTTTTTCCATCTGTCACTCTCTACTCTTTCTCCTAAGAGCTGTAGTGGGCTAGCTTTACTGTTTGAATTAAATATAATTTTGTTTTGAACATTCTGACGCCACTTAAGATTATTGAAGATAGTTGCAGTGGGAATATCTAGGCTCAGAGGAAAAACAAGTGCACAATGGAGCCAGTGATTCATTTCAACTTGAGAGCACTTCTTAGGATTTGGTGTCATTTAAATCACTTTGAAGCCTCATCTCTTAATTAAGGGTTTCAGAACACTATTCTTGCCCTGTCCTAGCCTATGATGTAGGGGAGTCTGCTTTGCCCCAAATATGTAGATTCTCTTTCCAGCTCTGTCTGACACCCTCTTTCCCTGGGTCTCTGCATTCCAGCAGTTTTTTAAAAGTGCCCTCCAGCCTCCTTCCTCAGGGCCTTTGCAAGGGATGCTTCCTCTCTGGGAGCTGATACAAATTGGTCCTCAGCGTAGGAGCGTCGAGTCAAATAGTCAGGCTTTCCTGTGGCTCTAGGATCCGAGTTGAGGGCCCTTCGACGAGGCCCAGCAAACCTGTTAACATTCTGGCCAGTGTCATGGGATGGGACATGCGTCTCTGGGGAAACCACCCCCCCACCCCCATCTTTTGTGGCTCTAAACCACACTGGGTTGCCAGACATCACAGCCACGTGGAGCCTGCTGTTTGGGCCATTTAAGGGTTGCCACAATATCATGTTCAGCAGGCTTTCCCTTAGCATGGCACATAGCACAGTTTAGACACTCAGCTAATATTCAAACACTAAATGTACCGATGCTCATGCTCTTTCACTGTACCTTACCTTCCTCATGTTCTCACTTCCCTCCTCACTCAGCTTAGTTTCTGTAATCCTTCATTATAATCAGTCTTCATCTATACCTTCACTTCCTTGCCTCTTTCCCCCTCTGTTTCAGATTTGTATGCTGTAATAACAAATTATCACAGACTTAGTGGCTCAAAACAACACCAAAGAGGTGTTGTTTTGAGCCACTGAGGGTCAGGAGTCCAATTACACGTTAGGCAAGTCCTTTCCTTGGGTCTTACAATGCTGCAACCAGCCAAGATGTCAGCAGGGCTGCGTTCTCATCTGAGGCATGGAGTCCTCTTCCAAACGCACACAGAATTCATTTCTTGTAGCTGTAACGTGCATACTGGTTTGCTTCATAAAATGGTTTGCTTCTTCAAAGCCTCAGGAGAGCATCTCTTGCTCAGGGAAGACCTAACCTTTCTCTGAAGGCTTAATTGATGAGTCAGGCCCATCCAAGATAATCCCTTTGGAAGAACTCTCAGTCAACTGATAAGGGACCTGCAAAATCTCTTCCCTCTACACATAATGTATGGATCATGGGATCATGGGAGTGATATCCTATCATACCCACAAGCCCTGCCATACTACAGGGAAAGGGTATACAACAGGAGGCAGGGAATCTTGGGGGCCATCTTACTCTGTCTACCACACTGTTGTATGCATCCCCCGGAACACCAACCCCTACTTATATTTTACTCTTCACCTGAATATATATATTCACATGGTTGAGAAAAACACACAAACATATTGACTGATCTCACTTAAAATTCTTCACCAAAACTTAACCACTAACTTCAGTTGGGCCTTCAGGATTTCCAGTTATCCAGTTTAGTTGTTCTCTTCCTCCTCTAGAAGAACACTCTCCCTAACACTCTACTACCCCTTCTCCCTGCTTTTTGTTTGTTTGTTTGTTTGTTTGTTTTTAGATTTTATTTATTTATTTGAGAGAGAAAGAGAGCATGAGAGAGAGTGTGAGAGAGAGAGCACAAGCTGGGGGTAGGGGTAGAGGGAGAAGCAGACTCCCCGCCGAGCAGGGAGCCCAATGTGGGACTCCATCCCAGGACCTGGAGATCATGACCTGAGCTGAAGGCAGCCGCTCAACCCACTAAGCCACCAAGGGGCCCTCTCCCTGCTTTTTAAAGTGAGACCTTAGCAGTAAGTGCCAGATGACCTTCACATGCTCCCATGGCCATACCTGTCGTCTTCCCTGCACCTGTGCCCACACACTCTGCTTGCCCTCCCATCCCACTGGATGAGCAGGGTGCATGCCCACCACAGGCCAGCCCTCCTTTAGGTTGCTCTGGATCGCTTCTCCTCACCCCTCGCCCATTTAAGGACCGTGCTCCTTTTTAGCCTCCATCATTCAATTTTCCTGCCTTAAAGGATCATTCCTCGTTTTGAACAAACAAGCTATAATTTCTCCCATCTTCAAAGCATCCCTCTCATGACCCCAGCTACAGCTCCACCATTTTCTATTCCCTTTTAGCAAAATTCCTTAAGAATTGTCAATAGCAGAGCATGCTAGGAGGCTGTTGCTTTCCCTAGGGGCTCTCTTCCAGGCTCGGTCGGGTGTCGGCATGGCCCGAGGAAATCAGCGAGAACTTGCCCGCCAGAAAAACATGAAGAAATCCCAGGAAATTAGCAAGGGAAAAAGAAAAGAGGATAGCTTGACCACCTCTCAGAGAAAGCAGAGGGACTCTGAGATAATGCAACAAAAGCAGAAGGCAGCTAATGAGAAGAAGTCTATGCAGACGAGAGAAAAATGATGACTATTTGGAAAAACCTGGGTGTTATTGCCAACTAGGTGTATCATAAGCTCTAAGGTCAAAAATTTTGTGGAGCAAACAGTCATGTTATACCCTTATAAAACTATTTTAAACTTTACCTTTCAGCCTGACTTAGTGTCATGTTTCAGAACCATTCTTCAAAGAATAAAACCATAATCATTAAAAAAAAAAAAAAGAATTGTCAATAGTAAATCTGTCTCACAGAGCTGTCTATACTTCCTTTCCTCCATTCTCTCTCGAATCCACTTCATTAGGTACCATCCCCACCATTCCCTAGTCACAGTTCTTGCCAAAGTCATAAATGGCCTCTTTTTTTGCCAAACCCAGTGGTCAATTCTCAATCCTCATCTTACTTAAGCATTTCACACAGCTGAGCACCCCCTCCTCCTTCAAATACTGTCTCTAAGTGGTTTTCAGGATACCACCCTCTACTGCTTTCCTATTTCAAGATATAGATATCCAACAGTTAAATGCATTAAAGGAAGGTACAAGAGACTATGCACACAATGCTACTGTTTGTGTAAAAATTATGTATTCTCTTGTAAATGCACAAAATATATCTGTGAGGAAGCACAGAACATTGGTTACTTCTAAGACGGGGAAATCTGGGTCCTTTTGTATCTTTTGAATTTTTCACCACGTGACAATACTCAAACTAAATTAAATTAGAAGCACAAAACTTGTATCATATGAGTTGGTTGTCAGAACTCGTGGCCAATTGGCAGCTGCTGCAAATGTCTCGGTGCCACCACCCTCTCTGCTGGGCTCATAGGTGGCCACAGCCACAGAGCACTGTGACATCCTCCACGCTCCCCTGTCCCTGAGCTATGACAATGAGATTCTGGTGTGGAATATACTTTTGGGAACAGGGCCAACTAAACAATTTAATTTATTAGTAAAACGATGTCAAAGGCAAACGATGCTCACAAATCCATTTTTGCTTGTGGGAAAAAGCACAGAACACAGAATTACGTGGAGCAAGAGGAGGTCACAAATTTGACATAGTCCTTAAATTGTTGTAATGCCAGAGAAATGGAAGACAGGGGTGGGGGGGAAGTCCACCTAAGAAGGACAAAGAAGGTAGAACAGTTTGATTAAGATGCACTTGAAAGAAACCTTGGGACTATACTAATTTTTAATTTTTTTCTATGAGACAGTGTTATTTATGGCCAAAAGTTTTAAGAGTTTTTTTAAATTTTTTATTTTATTTTATTTTTTTTAAAAGATTTTATTTATTTATTTGACAGAGAGAGACACAGCAAGAGAGGGAACACAAGGAGGGGGAGTGGAGAGGGAGAGGGAGAAGCAGGCTTCCCGCTGAGCAGGGAGCCCGACGCGGGGCTCAATCCCAGGACCTGGGATCATGACCTGAGCCCGAAGGCAGACGCTTAACGACTGAGCCACCCAGGCGCCCCTATTTAAGAGTTTTATAAAGGCATAATATTTTTATTATTTGTTGTCCACAAACTGTGTCAATGTTTTGTTCCTTATTTCCCAGCTAAAACATTGTTTTAACTCACAAAAACAAATACATTTAAATTCTTCAGTATTGTTTTCTATTATGGAAATGATGCTAGTGGTGTTAAGGTGAATGTGTATGTGTGGAATATGTGTGTGTGGGGGGGGGTAAAGGCGGAAATTCCTTTTTAAAAATTAGTAAATGTCTAAATGAGTCCTGGGAAGTTTTTTTCTTATTTGGTTCCTATACAAATATTCACTTCTCTTCTTCCAGCCTTCCAAATTATCCTTCTATCTATTCCTTTTTTGTTTTTTATACTTGGGGGATGTGAGAATAAAATGGCCATTTCCTTATTTACCTTACAGCCCTCTTTGTTGACCCTAAATCCTCAAGCTCTTTTAAATTTTGTTCATTTTCTTATTTATTTATTTAGTATCTAGATAGTGAGGAGTTTGGGGAGATGTCATATTTTAATACCCAGAATGCTAGAATGCCATGTTCATATCCATAGATTTGTTAGAGCAATTTAAATTTGAGGTTGTATTAATACATGCATGGGGCCAATGGGGAGGACTAGGATAGTCTTCTCCTTGTTGACTTGGTAATACTCAGAATATGTTGTCCTCCTGTGAGACCCCTCTTGAGAAAGTTAGAGGCATTAAGAAGAGGAGAGAACATGATACTTGCCTTCAAATATTTTAAGGGTGAGGATGAGGACAAGAGTTTGGCTTTGTGGTAAATACCAAGTGGTAAAATATGGACCAAGTGTTGTTGCAGGAAGGTGCAGGGATTTCGGCCCAGGGGTGCACGAAGATACAGGAAAACAGTTTCTTTCCGAATGTCTGAATCCCCTAGGGATGGAATTGGCCGTCTGGGGAGAGGGCACACACTATTTCTGAAGGTGGTCCACCATTTTCAGATGGATGATTGGAAAAGATGACATTTCACATCTCTTCCATTTCTTTTTATGTTCTAGGACCTTTGATGAGTCTTGAATTCTTGAGACTCTGATAAAAGCTATCGGCTCTCTCCCCAGAAACAAATATATGTATGATACCATTTCCTCCTGCAGTCGATGTACAATGTGGAGAGAGAGAGAACAGCTCCAGGGGAAGAACTCCTAGGTCTCCAAAGATGAAATTTTGGAAATTACTGTTCTGAGTTATTTCTTGCTTATAGCGGGTTTGAATAATTAAAGGCTTCATCAGAAACTAAGGATGCTTTTTCAAAATGCTTCAAGAAATAGCATTTTCCTCCAAATTCATTTAAACACAGCACATAGATCTTTGAAATTAATTTGTTTTTATTGGTTTTGTAAGAAATAGGTCAGAAATAATAACAGATTACATGTTTATTAATTCAAAAGCCTTTTTTTACAAGCATGATTATAAATTCAGCTGAATTTCAGTGCTAACTATAGATTAGTTTACAATGCATAACTTTGCCTATTTTCGTCTTTGGTCTTTTCGAGAATCCCATGACTCAGGCAGATTATTCATAACCACTTTACTTTAGAAATGACTGAGCTTCAGAGAACTTAACTGGGTGGCTTGAGATCAAAATTAGAGAAGTATGTATGTAATAAAGGGTCAGTTATAACTGGATTCAATTCCTGATCTGATGTGTGACCTTAGAGAGCTCACTGTTTCTATAGCTCAGTTTCCTCATTTCCAAAGTGGGGTAATGGTACCATTAACCTTCTAGAGGTGTTCTCAACCTTTAGATGAGATTTATGGCCTTACGTATTGGTGAGGCATGTGTCTTGAGAGTGAGAGCCAAGCAGAAGCCATATCCCCTTTCCCAACCCAGCCTCAGAAGGCACATTTCTGCTGCATTATTGTTATGGTCATAGAACATTAGAAGCGAGTCACTATGGCTGCCTGTATTCAAGGAGAGAATTAGCCTCCATATTTTTATGGAAGTTTTTAAAACCATCATGTCCTCCAAGCCTCCTACCCTCTTTCTTAATTAATAACATCGGCAAATTATTGTAGATGTGTTGTTGGGGGAAGCAGGTGTACAAAAGGATAAAAGACTATCTCTGCTCTCAGGGAGATTACAACCTAGTTGGGAAAGATAATGTTTTCCTAAGAAAAGATAACCAAGGATATCTTTGGAGTAAAAAGTTCCAAATGGTAAATTGTGCTTGAAGTGAGGAAACCGGTAGCTCTAGCTCTCGTCCTACCACTCACAAGCCACATGACAGTGACAGACCCCATTCAGGGGCCCTGGATTTCCATTTTTTTATCGGGCATATGGAGGTGGGGTGGGGCTCGTGTGGACACTGGAGAGACCTCTGCTACTTCTTTGGTGTTCCTCTAAGCAGTAAATCTGTGAAAGAGGGTTAACTTTAATTTATGAACTTCTTAAATTTACCAAGTATATCGTACGTGCAAGGTGCCCTGTGAAGTGCTGTAAGTAAATGAAGTCATAGGAATTTCATGAACAGGTACATCTATATTATTCCATATATTGTATACATATATTGTATATGTAGTATTGTATATTGTATATGTAGATCCCAGGATCCTGGGATCGTGACCTGGGCCAAAAGCAGATGCTTAACCGGCTGAGCCACCCAGGCGCCCTATACATGGATTTTAGACTGCACGTGGGGTCGGCACCCTTAACCCCTGTGTTGTTTAAGGGTCAACTATATATAAAATGAATGTATAAATTTAACAATCATGTTAAATAGTGTCTGCATCAACTGACACACTTTGGGGGTAATGAACACGTACTGTGTCCAGTAAAAGGTATACACAGTAGGCAGCAGACTCAGTTATAACTGCTTCTCTCATTACGTAGTTTAGGCACGTTACTTATGCTCACTGATCCTTAATAACCACTTCCACAGAATGACAGCCCTGAACTACTTTACAAGTTTCCTTCAAACTCTTAAAAAAGCACCGATTTAATGACTTCTGGTTTTTGTTGTTGTTGTTTTTTAATAACTGTCTGTGATTCCAAATACATGTGTTTAAATATTCTGCATTCTAACATTTATTGAGTGTCCATGGTGTACATGCTTGAATGTGTTAAGAATGTCCTTTAAATAAAATTTTCTATTGGACACCTTAGGAAACAAAAAGAGGAAACCTATCTTATAAGAGTAGCTCTGTACTGCACTCAGATTTTTTTTTATATTACAAAGTACATCATATATATCTACAAAATAGTTGTGCCTTGCCTTATGTGTCCTTGGCCATTATGAAAGTCTTTCATTGGGTACAGTTCTGATTTTTTCTATCTCTTGGGCTTCTCTGTTCTTGTCCTTTTAAGGTCCTTCTCTGGCCTGTTACAGCACTTCTGGGCCCCAGCCCAAAGCCTTCTTGATGGGTAAACATTATATTCCCATATAAGAGGGATGAGACTGAATCTTAGCAGGCAGCGCTGCTGGGGAAACTATCTATTAGGTCCAGGCAATCTGCACTTTAGGAAAATTGCTGAATTATACTAAATTAGAGAATGACCCATTCCTTATAGCCTGGCAGAGAGAAGCCTGGCCTGCCTAGATTTGCAAAGAGGAGGATAAATTACAGTCTATACCCATTACCTTATTTAATCCTTAAACAAGCTTATAGAATGAGTAACATACGGAACAAAAAGGCTAAGTAACTTCATTAGAGTAAAAAATCTAGTAAGGAGCAGGGGCAGGAGCTGAAGTTAACTGCTGGGGCACAGATCTGTCTGGCAATGGAACGTAGGCAGGTTGGGGAAGGTTCTGGTATCTGGTGGCCTGTTCCAGGGCTAGTCTAATCTAGCATGCAGCAATGGGGCAGAAAGAACTACAGAGACAGTTCAGAAAAGAAAATATCAGAGCTTGGCGACAAGGTGGGAAAGGAGATGAAGGAAGGGGAAGCATCGAATGACTGCACATTAAAATCTGCTGGGCGGAAATGTGAGTGTCACTGATGTGCCTGAGGAGTCTTAGCTCCTTGACATGTAAATAGGAATTTTTCCCCCCCCAAAGCTACCAACATTAAACCAACATTTCCTGCTGGCTAACAGATTCCTTTAACGACATTTCAGGCCTAGTCAGTACGTTTTCCGTCAGTTTTAGAATTAACAAAATCTTATTTCAGTTACTGTCTGGGCCAGCTTCACAGGCTGTGTGCAGGGCCCAGTGCAGCCATCCAGGGCCACATTTTCACAAGGGCCCAGGGCTTGGAGCCTAATACTCTCCAGCTGCCATCTTGACATCCTTAACAATGTTCTCTTTGGACTTGTGTTTTGTAAATGCAGCCTGATGGAGCAGTGGAGCGGGCACTGGGGGCTTGGAGCTTCAGTCGCACGTGGATCTCCTTCTGCTACTTCCTTGGGACAGGTTCATAGCTGACCACTCCTCCACCCCTTAGAGTCCCAGGCCCATGCATACACTCCCCTCCCTACCTCCACCCAGTGTCCCCAGTGGGGGCCTTGTGGGGTCGGCACCCCCACAGTCTCTGCATGGGCACAGCTGGGGTGGTCCCTGCCTGGGTTAACAGCACCATGCTGTGTTGGGTGGGCAAGCAGCTGGAGGGAGCCGCTCACCACTCCTCATTCAGGGGCCTGGTGCATCCTAGCACTGAGGTCGCAACATCTTTGGGGATCCAGCAACTTGTCGGAAGGGGAAGTGGAGCTGTCCGCTGCAAGTCCAGCATGCCCCCCCTCGGGGCCCCTGAAGCCTGCAAGGGTCCACACATGGCCTGTGTGTATCCCTGTGCCTGAGGGAGAGTGACATTGGACAAGAATAAAAAAAACCCACTGACATGTTGAGAGACCATGAATGAAAGGAAAAAGCTTTAAATTTGAGTATCTTCAAGGATGAATTTTCTTGTTTCTAGGATGAGGAGCCTCATGTTTTCATTTTGCACCGGGCCCTGAAAATTGTGTGACCAGTCCTGATTATTACGTTTTAATCATCTTAACCTCAAACTCCAATCTCATGTTCAACTCAGAGTGTTCCCGCCGCCTCCCCCTGCCCCCTCCCAAGCTTGCTTCTCCAGTGTTGGGATGGAGAAGGGCAAGAGTATCTGGTGGACATGCTGGGACAGCCCCATGTCAGTGACTTGGTGAGGTTTTTGTCTGCTTTCTGTTTCATGCAGTAGTCCCCCCTTATCCACTGTTTCGCTCATCTGTGGTTTCCATTACCCAGGGTCAACTGCGATCCAGAAGCAGGTGATCCTCCTTCTGACATCTGGTCAGAAGGTCAAGAGCAGCCTAACACTATGTCACAGCACCTACATCATTCACCTCACTTCATCTCATCACATGGGCAGTTGATCATCTCACACCATCCCAAGAAGAAGGGTGAGTAGAGTACCGAAGATATTTTGAGAGAGAGAGAGAGCATATTCACTTAACTTTTATTACAGCGTATTGTTATAATTGTTCTTTTTTATTATTAGTTGCTGTTGTTAATCTCTTCCTGTGCCTAATTTATAAATTAAAATTTACCATATATATGTATGTACAGGAAAAAACATAGTATATAGTGGGTTTGGTACTATCTGCAGTTTTAGGCATCCACTGGGGGTCTTGGAACATATTCCCCATGGATAAGGGGAAACTACTTGTAATTGCTTTTGCAATTTGCCCACTTGGGGTGGGAAGGCAGAGGCCCCTTCCCAACCTGCTGATAAGGGACCCAATCCCAAGGAGCTTTTCTAGGTAATAATAGTCTCTTTCAGGACCTGGCTGCCACATTTGTTGATGTCTAGATGCTAGTTACATGAAACATTCATCTGAAACAGGCAGCACTCTGTTGACCAACCAAGGCCGGACTCTATCCTCTGTGGTCCTAACTCTGGAGCCTAAAGGCATAGGTAACCAGTATCTCGTGTACCTCTAGGAGAGTACTTGGCTCCTCTCTGCCATATTAGTTCTCCCCTGTGCTTTAATAGCTCTGGGGCAGACTGGCCATTCTGGTGTCTCAGAGGACATCCAACTGGGATGGGAACAAAGTACCATTGTCACCAACTCTTGGTTTCACAAAAACTTCAAAAACAAGTCTTTTGAATTTAGAGCACAGTTTTTGAGACAGAAACCAATCAAAAAGGATGTTAATGGAAGAGGATGGCCTCTCCTTACAAACACCAAATTCCTATTTCCCTCCCCACCCCCCAAACAGCCCTGCTTCGGGGTCTTAGAGTTCCCTCTTATATCTCTTGTGAGTAAAGGCTGCCAAACCAGATCATCCTGTCTTGTACCTGGGGCCAGAGCAGGGGGCTACTTGTAAGAACTGAGCCCTCTGAACTTAAATTTACTATCTCTGCTTTCAACAAAACATTAACTTCTCTTCAATCCCTGCAATCATTTGGTAATCTCCCAGGGCAGGAAAAGATCTTAATTAGCAGATCTCACAAAATCCTGTTATCCACATTAAAACTTATCATTTTGCAGGCCCAGCAATGAATATACATGTCAACATCATTAATAAATATTTACTTAGTATCCTGTAACATGCATAACATTTAGGGAGATTCTGTATAGGGTATAGTCCTTATCCTCAAGGACTTTTAAATCAGTTGGAGAGAAGGGACATAAAGATAAAGATATCAGGAACAGTGCATGAGAATATATGCTGAGAGGATGGTATAGACAACAAGAGCTGTATGAAGTGGGAGAGCAGAGAGATTTCTGTGGCAAGGAGTGTTGGGATGACGTAGAGCATGGAGGACATAGAACACATCAGGTGAAGTGTGCTCAGGATTAGAGAAGCTGTAATAAGGAGGAAGTGCTTTTCAGAGAGGGGGAAGAAATAGATAAAAGAGTGGAGTTCAGATTGTCCATGATGTTGAGGAATATTCCACACTGTACAGAATCTTTGTCCCCCTTTTCTTTTAAGAACTCCCAGCCCCTTGCCACAGGTTTCGTCTTGCCCTGGGAGCCATTCCTGCTGTAAATGATGGGCAGAGACAGTGATTGCAATTATTCACTTTAGACAGCTATGATGATGCTGGACTCTTCAGCCCAGCCTTTGGCATTCCTTCAAGTGTGCAACAAAGAAGGGCGATTTGTGTTCATCACCAGCATCCACAGCCTTTTGCAGACATGGGGATGCTCAGACACACAGACCCAAAGGTCAACCTTACTTCTTGGATATAGTGCAATCCAGCTATAGTGCAGACCAGCCTGAAGGGTCAGGCGGAACCGCCTCCTCAACAGGTAGTAGCCTAAAATGAGTAACTCCAATCACTGTGTCCATGCTGATCATCTACAGCAGGAATCCAGATACTTGGTCAGGAAATAAAATCATTTCTTCAAGCCCAGACTCTCTGTCTTAGGTTGGGCTCCCTAGAGGCAGAGTTTGAGCCAAGGACTGGGATTCCTGTGATCTGTTGAGGGTTAGCTCTTCAGAGAAGAAACCTCTCAGAGATTGAGTAAGCAGGGCAGAAGAGGGATGGAGCTGGGTAAAAATGGGATCCAAGGTGAAGTCTGGCCCTGACCCCATCCAGGGATACAGTGGGGTGGTGGGGCTGGGTTGTGGAGCATGAAGTTGCACTGGAGAGTGGTCCTTCCTGGAGGTAAGGGGGCTATTTTTTTTTTTTTTTTTGTAGTTTTTGTTAGATGGGGGCTGCAGGCTCTGTAGGAGGAGAGAACAGATCAAGCTCCCAGGTTTGACTCTGCTCAGCAGAGGGCTTGGAGGAGGGGAGGCAGTGGGAGCCATTGGGATCCAGCCTTCTTAGCAGCGGGTAATGGATGAATAAGCCCAGCAAAGTAGATCTGAGCAGAACTGGCAGGCATACCACAGCATCTACTACAATATCCGTATAGGGACTTATTATTCTGATGCATTTCAATGTCACTCTACATCCTATTCTACCTCCCTGAACTCAGATTTTCTCCCAAGGCCCACCTACCACAAGAAACCAGGGCCCATCACAAAGCCTTTTATTGGTAGAGACACAAAGACAAGGCCAAAGCTTTGGTATTTCTTTTTCTTTCCTTCCTGGTGGCTTTTTCTAAGCTGGTCAGGATGTCCCAACACCATTATCTGTAACCCCAGCAAGGCAATTATGGTTCTTTAGTACAAAACAGCCCCAGGGGTCAGGAATTAGGGCAGGGTGTGTGTAAGGTTTCCTCTTTTCCAGTTATACAAGGAAGGAACATTGACTTTGAAGTTGCAATATCTGTGATTTATGGTATTTTGAAAATTGATTCATATTGAATCATTTTTATATTATCAGAACTGTATACTTCCTCATTAAGTGGAAAAACAAACCAGAGACAAATCTGCTTTAGACTCTCAGATTCTCTTACTGTAATTGAACCATGAAGCTTTTAAATTTAAGTGTAAAAAGAAATGGAATGGTACCGTTTTAAATTCTTATCAATTCTGATGAGGATGAAGGAAGTGGTAGCTTTTGTAGAGTGGGTGGAAATAAAATGGGGAGAGAGAATGTCAGGAATGAATTTTTCCAGATAAAGAAAAAAATAGCATCATATTAAAAAAATTTTCATCAAAACATTTTGCTCAAAATTGACTTGAATTTTCTGGTGTAATCCACTTTTAAAATTTTATACACAGACTTAGAAAATGGGGACCATAGGATGCAAATAGTTCATCACCTGTTTCGTTTATACAAATATATTTTTTTCTAAAACACATTTTTTAAATGGATAGTCTTCCATTTTATGAAATAGCCACAGTGTGTTTAATTAGTCCTCTACTGAACATTTTATTTCCAAGGCAGTGATTTTTTTTTAGTGACTTTAGTTGATGGAATAAACTTTTACTTTTTAATTTTAGTTTTTTAAAATTCCAGTATAGTTGGGGCACTTGGGTGGCTCAGTCGTTAAGCGTCTGCCTTCTGCTCAGGTCATGATCCCAGGGTCCTGGGATCAAGCCCCGCGTCAGACTCCCTGCTCGGTGGGAAGCCTGCTTCTCCCTCTCCCACTCCCCCTGCTTGTGTTCCTGCTCTCGCTGTCTCTCTCTCTGTCAAATAAATAAAATCTTAAAAAAAAAAAATTAACAAAAAAATTCCAGTATAGTTAATGTACAGTGTTAGACTAGTTTCAGGTGTACAATATAGTGATTCAGCAATTCTATACATAATTCAGTGCTCATCATGGTAAGTGTACTTTTAATCCCCTTCACCTATTCTGCCCATCCCCTCACCTACCTCCCCTCTGGTAACCACTATTTTGTTCTTTATAGTTAAGAGTCTTTTTTTGTTTGTCTCTTTTTTTTCTTTTTTCATCTTCTTTGTTTCTTAAATTCTACATATGAGTGAAATCATATGGTATTTGTCTTTCTCTGACTGACTTATTTCTCTTAGCATTATACCCTCTAGATCCATCCATGTTGTTGCAAATGGCAAGAGTTCGTTCTTCTTTACGGATGAGTAATATTCCAGTGTGTGTGTGTGTGTGTGTGTGTGTGTGTGTGTACCACCTCTTCTTTATCCATTCATCTATTGATGGGCACTTGGGCTGCTTCCATAATTTGGCTATTGTAAATAATGCTGTTATAAACATTGATCTTGAATTAGTGTTTTCCTATTCTTTGGGTAAATACCCAGTAGTGGAATTACTAGACCATAGGGTAGTTCTATTTTTAATTTTTTGAGGAACCTCCATACTGTTTTCCACAGTGGCTGCACCAGTTTGCATTCCCCTCATGAGAATTCCTTTTTCTGCACCTCCTCGCCAACACTTGTTTCTTGTGTTTTCTATTTTAGCCATTCCGACAGGTGTGAGGTGATATCTCATTGTGGTTTTGATTTGCATTTCCCTGATGATGAGTGATGTTGAGCATCTTTTCACATGTCTGTTTGCCATCTGTGTGTCTTCTTTGGAGAAATGTCTATTCATGTCTATTCATTTTATATTATCAGAACTGTATACTTCCTCATTAAGTGGAAAAGCAAACCAGAGACAAATCTGCTTTAGACTCTCAGATTCTCTTACTGTAATCGAACCATGAAACTTTTAAATTTAAGTGTAAAAAGAAAGGCAGGGCAGTGACATTTTGACTTAAATTATGCACAGTGCCAAACAAAGTATCATGAATAAATAGGCTGGATTCATATTGTTTGGTTACAAGATTTCCTTTGTCAGTGAATGAAATTGGTAAAAGTACATTTGCATTTCAGAACAACAAATTTACTAAGTTGTTATGTTCTTGATGAAATGCCTCGAGTGATGGAGACCCATGTTATTTAAAAGTACAGTTTTGTTTTAAAATTATCCAACAAACATGTGCTTCCACAAGCAGAATTTTCCATTCCAAGACTTCTGAGGCAAAGGAAATTGGCATAATCCTTATTACTATAGTAAAATTAAAATAATGCCACATTAAGTCATTA